GTGGTGGAGGACATAGAGGGTTAGTCGAGACCCTAAAGGGCTTGTTTGTGGACAACTTGGCTACAGTATGCAGGTATTAGGGCCGACCTTGAGATTTTAGAGGTCTTAGGCAATCTTCAAATATAGAGCCGCCGATAAATATTTAAAAATATGTATAATAATTAAAAACAAGAGCTAAGTTTTGTCAAATTGATCTCAAAGATTAGCAAGGAAATCATATCACTTCCTCTTGTACCCCTACTAATATCAAAAGAAACTTTCTTGCTACGGTAGCTGTTCTCTTTCCATGTTTTTTTTGAATATTAATATTCAAAGTTATAAAAATAAAAATATAAAATTTTCAAATGTCTAAATTAAATTTGTTCTTCTTGATTTTTTGACAGAAAATTAACAATTATATAATTAAATCAACCTGTTTTAGAACTTTTTCTAAATAGACACTATGGATAATCCATTTAACCTTTTTTTTTTTGGTTGTTGATCAGAGGTATGATTTTATTAACTTCAACTTTGAGAAACTCATATTGACGGATGTAACTATAACTAATATAGTTAATAATGTTCCATAAGCAATCCAATCCACACATTTGAAAAAATAAAAAATAAAAAAATGTCTATCACTTTTGTATAGTTTAACACTCTATTCACCTTTTAGATCTTTTCCAACAAATAGTTTCAAACAATTTGTGGCTTAAAAAATAACTCTGCCCATCAATATCAGAATCCTTCTCGTGCTTCAAAAATCCTTCACGCTTATGACACCATTACTTCAAATAATTATCATTTGCAGTCTACGAACTTTTTAAATCAATTACAAACTCAAAAGTATTCTCTTATTTTTTAAATTGTTCAAACCTTAACTTTAATTAGGAAAGAGCTTGATCAACTATATATAATAAATAATCAACTCTAAAAAATTTCTCAATTGAATGTATTATACCATCATTGATATTTTCATCAAAGTGCTTCTTTATTTGAAATAAGCTTTTCATAAAAAGTAATTTCAACTTCCATTATGAATTTTTTTTCATAAAAAGTAATTTCAACTTCCATTTGAGAAGTAATCTTGTCAAATTCAAATTAAAATTTTCTATATGTTTCAAAAATGAAATGAATGCTTTCAATTGACTAATAACAACATCAATTGACAAGTTTTCACTTTGCAAATTTCTCTTACTCAATAATACCAGACTATATATTGTTGCAAACAATCACGTCACAAGAACTTAAAATGCAAAATTTCATAAGATAAACTTTTAGCATCTCTATTTACCAAGGTCATTAATGTTTCCATCAAGTGTTTTAAAGCAGGTCTTATGTGTGGAGCTTAAAATTTTATTGCTTTAACACTTCCAACTTGACTTTCTCAATGTGTTTTGATAGTAACTTAAGTATTGGCTATTTACATTACAGAGATAATACATAATATGCATATAATACTACCAGTATTATTGTCAATGAGTGTAAATGTAAGGGATAGAATTGCATAGAGTTGATTTTGGAGATGAGGAATTGAAAATGGTTAAACAAGTAGAAAAAATAAAATAAAAATTGAAAGCTCACTAAAAAATAAAAGAAATGACAGAGAAAAAGAGTGAAAATGAAAGTTACCCTAAAAATGAGAAAAAGGAAAAATCAACAAAATTGAAAGTCACGAATTTATTAAAAACTTCTTTTACACTTTGAATATATATATAGAGCACATGTAAGGCACAGTCGGGTTGCTCACGCAGCGGATCTCTCTCTATCTATAGATTTTTTTTTTTTGATATTTCTTTATTATTTATAAACATAATCTATATAATAATTATTTTTGCCCTCATCAAATCGAACCATAGACAATTGCCTACTCCGTATATAGTCAGGATCGACAATGCCAGGTATTTTATGCATGCCTTGGGTGGCTGCCCAATTGCTTGAGGCAGATACCAAATAGCTTGGGGTGGTCGTCCTCTAGACCATTCACATGTGTTCGTGCTTATACTTATTTTAATGAGTACTTTTCACCTAAAATTCAGTTATTTAACTAACATATTGAATTATTGTGACTGTAATAAATAGTTGTCACCTTTGGGAAGTCTTGTTCAACAAAATAAGATTGTTGGTTTCTAGTGTGAAAGATATGAAATATATGAAAGAGATAGAATTGTCCTTCACCTTCTCTCTTGAAAAACTATTTTCATTAATATTTTATATTGTATCTTTTTCAAAGTTTGTTTCTTTGTAATTTGAAAATACAGAACAAGAGCATCTCTATATTGACTTTTTCTTTCCTTTGTACTCAATTTTGTTTTCGTTAGTTCAAGATGCAAACAACATATTCCATTGTATCCTTGTGGCATTTTGCTATCCCATGTGCATCTTCTGAGTGTAGGTAAACATCATCTCAAGGTTGTCTAAATTCATGCCCTGAACCCTAGTTTCTCCATCTTATTGTTCAATGCAAATTTTTTCCAACTTCATTTGCTATTTGCCCCCACTTTTGCGAATCTAATGCCAACACACCCCATGCCCCCCACTTCGTCTCGTTAGAAATTGGCGAAAGGAGGGGAACATGATACAAAATTTCTTTTGGTTGTTTTTTGTTAATTTTGCGAAATTATAAAATCGAGATTATTTTATTTTTGATCCTTTGATGTAGTGGATTGTTTGACCCGTAACATGGGGGCTGTTGATGACCATGCTCATCTGGTGTTAATTAAAACCATTAGAATATCGATTCAAACCGCAGGTTGTAGTCAAAACTGCTTAATCTGGTCATAGGATATTTTGACGGTTTGCTATCTGCTACTTAAATTGAAGAATTGAAAGTGAATTTTTAATTTTCCTAGGCGTTAGAATTTACTATCCTAGTTATTGAGTAAAATTCCTAAATCTCTCTCTCACTTAACCTAACCATATCCACGGTAAAAGCTACGAGCTAGTTAAGATCCAACCTTTTGAAATGAATCTTGTAATCCTGGACGTGAAGAATAAAATCCAAATGGATCACAAGTCAAAATATGGTTAGAGCCCTTATGTGTCTTGGACTTATATTAAATTCCGAGATAGTTACCTTTCAGAAAATTCTAACGATAGAAGGAATTTATTCTTCTAAAGGTGGGAACTTGTTCAGAAATATCATAATGAAAGGAACATAGGAGTTTGTCGCTAGGTATTTGACCAAATATGATCGTCCCAATTTTTCTTTTGCTAGGCCCATAACTAAAAAACCCACTTTCTTACGATTACGAGGTTTATTCGACTATGAAATTCAATTTTGGAAATATAGCATCCCGCTCCTAAATGGTATTTCTTTCTTGTATATCAAATACTTCGTACAGTGCCCAATAAATTATTGGGTGTTTCTTTAATGGTTTCAGTTAGTTAAGGTTCAACCTTTTGATATGAATCTTGTGCATATTTATCCAAAGTTAATCCAAACGGTATATCTTGGTGGACTTAATGGACACTACATCAAATTTTACATAGCTCTACTTCTTGCATGCATGTTCTCATGAAGTACAAGGATGTCCAGACTCTGTAGTAGGTGAAAACGTCACCGTTTTTTGGTCATGAACAGCCCCTTTTGGTAGGTTTCTTGGTAGGTGAAGTCTAATTGAAAAACACTTCAAATTGGCTAAATCAACATGCAGTGGCTCTTACATATATCTTCATATGATTACCAAACCCAGGAAGGACCCCACTCTTGCACACCAACTCTATCTCATATTCTCATGCCGTGTATATCCAAAACTTAAAAAAAAAAAAAAAAAAAAAAAAAAAAAAAAAAAAAAAAAAAAAAAAAAAAAAAAAAAAAAAAAAAAAAAAAAAAAAAAAAAAAAAAAAAAAAAAAAAAATTTAACCAAGATGAATCATCTTACATAGTAATAAAAAATTTATTAGTAAAAGTAGACATGTAAGAATCTGATTCTCGATGTGGAAAAGTTTACACCTATCACTTCGTTTTAAATAATGTTATTTGATATCACTGATGTTACAGCAAAGTGAGTTGGACTAGTCATTACCATTTTTGCCTTTATTGAGATTCGTGGGAAGCATGAATGTTATTCGAAAATTCTTGTTTATCATCCCATTTAATTATTTACTTTCTTTTGGAATATTATTTCTATTTTTAAAATTATAAAAATGAATTAAGATAAGATACGTAGGGGTGGGGCCAAAAACTTTTGCCATCCTAACTCAATTCAGAGAACTTTTTTGAGAAGTAATACATGTGGCCAAACTTTGTACCGTCAATACATAATTAGAAAGATTCTTATCTTAAGAAGTAATGCTACCATGTCAATTAATTGATTGAACATTGGTCCCATTAAATTACATTCTATTTTCTCTCTTCTATTTTTACTCACACAATCTTTCATAAAATAATATTACACGTAAATCGAAAAATATTTCCTTCTCTTTGAACTACTAATTTTCAAAAAAAAAAAAAAAAAAAACCATTATTCCACCCATTTTCATCTCCAAAAAATGGGGGACTAAACAGAGAGAATATGATTTATATCTCCTCCTTTAAGATATTCAATCATTTAAGGACATTTAATGGACAATTAAATTAGTACTAAGCATCAACAGAATGCAAGTTCAAGTTACGAATTTAGTCTTGAGCAACCCAAAATCACTATCAACCCTCTTCCCCAAACTCCCTCACCATCCTTATCCTCTCAAAAGTTGATCTTATTGAAGTTCTTACGGAACGTGAGTGTGAATTTCTTCTTGAAAAGAATGATTCTCGTCACTCAGTTTAGAGAGGGATCTTTTTCAGGAAGTAATTACGTCTCGACAATGTACCTCCAACAATTTGAGGGAGAAATTCTTTTCTAAATATAGCAAACGTGTTTAAAAATTCCATTTACGAATTTAACACTTGAACAACCCAAAATCCCGATCAACTCCTATCTTCACCAACCCCTACCCTCAAGGTTGCCTATTTATACCCCATTTGATGACTCACTTTCTTGTCTAAGAAATCCCAAAAAGTTGATAATCCATCTCTCTCTCTCTCTACAAATTTCTTTCAAAACTCAATACCAATGGACACTAAAACAAAGCAGGAAGATATAAGGTTTCGATCAAAACTTCCCGATATATACATTCCAAAACATCTCCCTTTACACTCCTATTGTTTCGAAAATATTTCTAAATATAGCACCAAACCCTGCCTCATCAATGGCACCTCCGGCGAAGTCTACACCTATGAAGAAGTCGAACTCACCGCTCGCAAAGTCGCGTCGGGACTCAACAATCTTGGCATCCGACAAGGCGACACGATCATGCTCTTACTTCCCAATTCACCTGAATTTGTGTTCGCGTTCATCGGCTCGTCGTTTTCTGGCGCCGTGTCAACAATGGCGAATCCTTTTTTCACTGCGGCAGAGGTGGTGAAACAAGCCAAGGCGTCGAAAGCTAAACTTATTATTACGCAGGCATGTTATTTGGATAAAGTTAGGAATTATGCAGAGGAAAATGCGGTCAAGGTGATGTGCATTGACACGCCGGCGCCGGAAGGTTGTTTGCTGTTCTCGGAGTTAACTAAAGCTGATGAGAAGGTATTGATTGAGCAGTTTCTTCTTTAACTTGTTTTTTTATTAGGCTTTGCTGTTTGTCGGAGTTGACACCTAGATTTACACAAAGCAAAATTATTTTATATTTAAGTGACGTGGAAATTTTCGGACACTAGTATTTTTTCTTTTTAATATTTAAATGTAAATTAAAATTTAAATCAAAGTTAATATTTAATTTAACCAAACATTTAATGAAATTTTCACCATATATTTCGTTAATTTTAATTAAAATTTACTAAAAATATAATTTTTATCTAAATATAATTATTTTTTATCTATATATAGCTCAAAAAGTTATCTCGAGATATATGCGATACTCAAACTTAGACATATGAAAAGTTAGTTATATTTTTGAAATATGAGACACTGCTTGCCTTTGATACTGTCAAAAAAGTGAGAAAGTGTTTCTAATAATGCTACTATGTTTTATTATGACCAAAATCGAATTTGAATAATGATACTTGGCCAGGTTCGATGACAATGATGGATGTTGATAAGGTGGTGCAGCAAACAGTGATTGGGTGTTTTTTTTTTTTTTTTTAAATTGTCCTATGAGGTATTGACAAATGTCTTCTCTGTTACTAAACCTGTCATTGAGCCTATCATTGTAGAAAAATTGATCGAATTTGGGTACCAACAAAAATTAAGGGGCGTTTGTTTCTCATTTTTGTAAGAATGAGAATGAAAAATGTAGACGTTATGAGTCCCACATTAGAGATAGAAATTCAAATTTGGTGACTTGATATGATGGATAACAGTTATATTTTTCATTTTAACGTGGAAAGAATGAGAAATAAACGGGGGCTATATATATATATATATATATATATATATATATTCTTTTAATGTAACATTCCAAAGCATTTTGTATAAAATAATATTTCCAATTACTGTTGTGTAGCATTAAGTTTTGGGTTGAACTGATTGTACACTCCATGTAGGATTGTACAATTACAGCCTCCTTTGGGGGACCTCATGTGAGGGGGTTGTGATTCTTGCTATACAGCCTTTGTTGTTCTTAATTTATTTTTTATTTATTTATTTTTTTTCGTAGTGGTATTTAGCACTATTTGTGTCGTATTAGTCTCCACGATAACTAAATAATATATTTATTTAAATATAATGTTATAATTGAACATATGAAGTGTGTTCACCTAAATTAGTGTTAAGATGTGTGAGATTGATTTGTATAGGATATGCTGGCGGTGAAAATTAACCCGGACGATGTGGTGGCGCTGCCGTACTCCTCCGGGACGACAGGGTTGCCAAAAGGTGTGATGCTTACACACAAAGGATTGGTCACAAGTGTAGCCCAACAAGTCGATGGAGAGAATCCAAATCTATATATACACAGTGATGATGTCATTCTGTGTGTTCTTCCATTGTTTCACATTTATTCACTCAATTCAGTTCTGCTCTGTGGATTAAGAGCTGGTGCAGCAATTCTGATTATGCAGAAATTTGAAATTCTGCCATTTTTAGAGCTGATACAGAAATATAAAGTGACGATTGGTCCCTTTGTGCCGCCGATTATTTTAGCCATTGCTAAAAGTCCGGCGGTGGGTAAATATGACCTTTCTTCTGTACGGACAGTGATGTCAGGGGCGGCGCCGCTAGGGAAGGAGCTTGAAGATGCCGTCAGAATGAAATTTCCAAATGCCAAACTTGGTCAGGTGTGAATTCAACTAACATTACACAAATAAGTTTGCTTTCTTAAACTAAGGGATTGTTTGATTTTGATTATTAGAATTGATTTTTTGAAAGTTAAAGAGAAAAGTGGGTCCCAACTATGAGATAAAAAGTCAAGAATAACGGCTAATTTAGGGAAGTAACGGTCAAAGAATTAATTTTTTAGACGTGAAAAATTATAACCAAACATGCACTAAATTAGGGTTTTTTTTCTTTTCGTTTTTTTTTAATACATTAATATGGAAAAAAAATAGTTTTAAAAAATGAAGGCCAAATATATATATAATCCGATTTCAGAGAATAAAAACCTCAAAACCCAAGTTTCATTCATTAACTGCAAACTTGTTTCCAAGTTAACATCTGCAATTATTTTACATAGAATCCATCACGTGAAAGTTCCATTAGTTTTTAAACACAGTGTTGAGTTTGGTGACAGAAATATAGCATCCTTATAAGTTCAGTGCCTAAACAGATCTTTAGCTTAATTTTTTAATTTCTTAGAATGATATATATAAACATGTATGTAAATTAGTCGAACAATTTTAACTTATCAATTTATTCTAAAACATTGTACCCCATAATATACATTCTAATATTTTACTACTCTTTACATTAAGTAATACCATTGGTGTTCAACAAAGTCTATATGACATTACAGTGACACTAAATGACAGATGTCCAAATAAATATAGGGATGTGAGACATATTTAATTTGACATATCATTTAATGTCAATGCGTTACAATGTAGATAAGGGTGTTGAACAAACTTACTCGTTTGTAAAGTATATTTATTGACATTGAAATGTGAATGTTAGTTAATTGATAAGCAGATGATTAAATTCTAATTAATGAAATAAATGTTAGGATTCTTAGCTATCCTGTATTCATTCGAGTATGTCAAGGAAACCCAAAAATTCAATCCAAGATGGGTAGATAAAGGCTTTTTTCTGCGTTGAACCTAACTTTTGATACCTATACATCGATGAAATGTTTGGTATATTAGATATGATATACTTGCACATGACACGCAACTACATATAATGAATTGTAGGATTCGAATTTGTAATTTTAATTTGAAAAGTATAGAAAATATAATGTTGGCACAAGTTAATGACATATATGATAAAGTTAAGGACAACATAATTATATAGAGTATTTGACATTCTTCTTTTCCTTAATTAATTGTATCAAACATTTGAACTCTATCCAATTCATGATATCTTGAACTCATTTAATGAAGTATATCCAAAAGTCAAATGCAAATCCAATTAAATATTAAATAAAACTTAAATTGCGTTTGATTGTAAGTATGAAATTTGTAAGGAAAGAAAATAAATTCTAGATAATTCAATTGCCTAGAACTTATTTGAATGGAAATTATCAATTAAATGTGTTTTATTTGCTTAATTTTCAATCTTAAAAATATTATACTTGTTCGTTTTTTATTAGTGGGCGGATTATATGTAGAAAGTAGATAGATGAGAGAGAGTGAATTCCCTGAAAAAATAAAATCTTGCTTCTCCTAAGAAAATTATTTTTCTTAATTTATTGGAAAATATGGTCACGTGACCAAAAATAGGAAAATGTTTTCCATGGAAAAAATAGCAATCAAATAGCACAAAAGTAAGAATTTGGATGAAAAAACACATTTTTTTAATAGAAAATATTAACAATCAAACGCACCCTTATTGTGATAAATAAATAGACTCTTGACCTAGTCAAAAAATCGTTTTACCGGGATTTGGCAATGTAATGTAGGGTTATGGGATGACAGAAGCTGGACCAGTGCTTGCCATGTGCTTGGCATTTGCTAAAGAACCATTTGTGATCAAGTCGGGAGCATGTGGCACTGTGGTTAGAAATGCTAAAATGAAAATTGTTGATACAGAAACTGGTGCATCTCTAGGGAGAAACCAAACTGGAGAAATTTGTATAAGAGGAGATCAAATCATGAAAGGTATGTTACTTCATTTATTATAAGTTGTATTGGAAAAATAAAACTCGAATAATCTAATATGAATAGAATAGAATAGAATAAATTTGTAAACTAAGGATAACAAAAAAAAACCCGTCAAACCCGATATCCTCGGTCCTGTCCCGAATGGGGCGGGTTCACCCACTTAATCGGGTATTAGGAGCGGGTACGGGTGTTCCATTAATTTTTATTCATTTTTTTATATAAGAATTTAATACTTTTAATGGAAAACTCCACAAAATTTCAATAATTCTAATAGAAGATGGCAACTAAGATTATATAATGAATATGATAAATAATAAAAACCTTAGTTTACCAAATATATTCAAAGAATTTAACTTTTAAAAATAAAATAATTAATTAAAAATTTAATAACTACATTATTGTGTCACTATAATGAATGGAAACAATAAAAAGAATTATCAAAAACTATAATAATAATAATATTAATAATAAATTGTAAAAAAGGGTAAAGGCTAGGCCCGGCCCGGCCCTCGACCCGCCTTAAATGGGTAACGGTATGGGAAAATGCCCGATGGACGGAACTCACTCCCCACCCCAAACCCACCACTTTGCCATATCTAGCATAAACGCATAAAACCCCACAAAATTATAGATTAGAGAGTTTATTGTAATTTCTATCAACTATATAACCCAAGAGAAAACATAGCACGTTGTAGGGACGTCAAAGTGTCGAGTCGAGCCGGCTCGCAAGCTAAAACTCGAGGCACAGGCTCGACTCGAGTAAAATATGAGCTTTTTTCCGAGCCCAACCCAAGCAGAACTTTTGCTCGTCTAAAAATTTAGGCTCAATCCAAGCTTTCAGCTCAGGCCTTTTCGAGCCAAATCAAGCAGGCTTGTTTTTTTCCTTTTTTTTCCTTCTTATTATTATTATTATTATTATTATTATTTAATAAGTAAACTGATGGCAGCTGTGGTTGCTCTAAAGGCAGCATTGCAAGCAGTTGTTTAAGGTAGCATTGTGCTGCCTCAGTGGGGCCTTTCCTTTTTTAATTTTAAAGGCCCGTGAACCGGTGAGCCACACGGGCCTGCTCAGACTTTTTCGGGCCGAGCCACAGGCGGCGAGCCGAATTTACATCCCTAGCATGTTGTAATAAAAGCCTAATTCAATGCATTGACCTTGATCAAGACTATATTTTTCGTCTTGAAATGTCATTGATAGAATTTTTCTCAAGAGTTAAAGCCATTTATACATCAAAAGTGTACATCACTTTTGAAATAATTCAAATTGACATGATTTGATTGGGAAAAAATAATAATAATAAATTAATTAAACTATCCAATAACGTGTTGCCACGTGGTACAATGTAAAAAGTAAGTATATGTAGCATGATTGTTTTCTCAATTAGTTGCACTTAAGTGCGATGATTTGCTTTATAAAAAAAGAGATGTAGAAACAGAAAACGACTATATACGAACTAGAGGAATCTATTGATATATATTTCTTCTTTTGTCTTGTATAAGAACGCACAAAATATTTAGCCTATGGTTAAAATTTGTTTCTAGAGATTTAGCCCTTGTTTGAGCCTCATTTTTATAAGAAAATATGTTTTGGAATATTCTTGGAGAATATCTGATTAGAAAATGAGGAAAATTTTTCAGTTTACATATCAAATTATTTTATTGGAGAATGAGCAGTTAAAAATGAGATTTTGAAAAAATAGGGGGCCAAACATATTTTTATGAACACTTTGGTCAAAAAACACTTTCAATAAAATCATTTCTTATTCGTACATTTTCTAAAATTCACAAGTATTGCCTACTATTTAGTTACACATTTACACCAACTTATAACCACGTCTGTTTGTAAACAAACATTAACAAACACATGGGTGCATGTTTACCTTGTAAGTTAAAAAATGTCACTTAATCCTAACTACAAATTAGGTAGCCTACTAAGTGTAGAGTAAATATAAGCAAGAATGATCCAAAAACAAATTTAGAAAGTGCACCATTATACGCACAAAGTGCTGGTAAACACACACACATACACGAGCTTGGCTGTGTAGAAGAAAAGACAAGGATTAAACAGGTCACCTTTCTAGGTAGTAACTATTGAACATATATTTTTTTTTCTACTCTTTAGGTTCTAACCCTTATATATTAATTTATATTACGATATCTAATAATGTGATTTATCACTTAACACGTCCCATAGAAGGATAATTCATTTGAGAACACCAATCATGAAATTCATGTATTCATTTGAGTTTTAAACAGATTGAATTGCTCGTCTAAATTTAACGAGCCTTGATATTATGATTTGAGGTTCTATTTTAAACCGTCAATTTTGTTAAGTGTAATAGTCAAACCCGTATATTTTAGTCTATATTCCAGTACATAACCAATTGAAATGTTTCCCTTAACACAACCAACTTTAATTTGTTTGAATCAAGTATTTGAACATCAATTTATTTTCTATATTTGTCACTCCATTAGCCCTTGCTCTGAACTTAACCTCACTATCCTATATGAACGTTAAAAAATGACACTGCCTAACGTATCTTCACAATATGCCACCTTATCATCCAGTGGCTATAAAATTTGAAATTAATCGTGTTTGAAAACTATAATTAATTTGATAGAGCTTACTAAGAACATTCGTCTCGATTTCAAAATTACTAGCTAAGACATGATTTGATAGCATACTTACCCAGAAAAGTGGACTAATGGAGTATTGCAAAGTTAAGTTTAGTGACTAATGTAGTGGCTAATACTGAAAGTATATATTGAAATTCAATGATTTGATTGTGACAAGATTAAGTTGGGTGACCCAATTACCGAAAAGGAAATCAACCCACCAAAAGCATGAACAATGCTACTTGAGCAGGGTTTGACATGAATGGGATGATAGGGTGGGTGATAGTACTTGATTGAGTTTTTTTTTTTTTTCCAAACTGTCTAATCATGCGTCGATGCGTGTCTCCACGTTTTTGAATCAGTCATTAAGCCTGTCGTTGTAGCATCATTCGAAAAGCATTGAGTTGTTGGGAATAAGATTGATGACAACTTACTACAACATGACGATTTTGGTCTGAACTATATTTGTAAATCTTGAACTTGACTACGGGCGTATCTATTTATAATGAAGACAAAGGTCCAAGAGCACGTCACTTATTGTTGTACTGAAGAAGGGTCAGATAGAATTCACGACCAAAAAATGTGAGAAAACTGATGAACTTATAATTCCTTTGAGCTCACTTTTTTCAGGTTATCTGAATGATCCTGAGGCCTCAGAAAGAACAATAGACAAAGAAGGCTGGTTACACACAGGTGATATAGGCTTCATTGATGCAGATGATGAGCTTTTCATAGTTGACAGGTTGAAAGAGATAATAAAATACAAAGGATTTCAAGTGGCACCTGCTGAAATTGAAGCCCTTCTCCACAACCACCCCAATATCTCTGATGCTGCTGTCGTCCCGTAAGTCCACACATATTATAATTTGTTTGATAAAACTTTATGACATAAAGAAATTAAAACATTGCCATCTCATAACAATATGTTCGTGTTCATTACTCTATATAATACGCGTTCTTAAAGAATAAGACTATAATTAGGCTCTGTTTGAGCCTTTGGCTGGAAAAGGAAAATGCGTCTTTTCCGGAAAATGTTTTGACATCTGGGTGATTGTCCCTCACAAAGTGTGCGGGTCTCACATGAATTAAATAATGCCCGACCCTCGAGGTATGTGTATTCGGTCATCCCCTATGTTAACTATTATGTTCCCCTAGCTCGGTCTGTTGGAAAAATAGATTTTGTAATAATAATTTTCTAATAATGTTTGGTTAAAAGTAATAAAAAGTTTTGGACTTACTTGTAGAATTATTTTATTGAAAAAATGTATGATTGAAAATGAGTTTTTAGAGAATGAGACTCAAATACGAACTTGCTTTTTGAACAGACATTGTCAGAACCTAATTAAACTATTTATTAGTTCCTTCGACCATGGAGAATATTGGGTAGTTCACATACTTAATATGTCAAATCTGGTATTTCCTCCCTAGGGAGAGACTCTTCTCAAAGGAGGGAATGGGGAGAAGGGGTGCCTCCTCTCGAAGGGGGTCGCAATGATTAGGCTCGGGCGACTGTTTACCAAAAACACAGAAAATGAGACATGAGTTCCAAATCCGATGCAATCTTCTTCTTTGTTAGTGTAACCCTACAGCAGCAAGTGGACACATATAAATCATGTATTGCAGGCTTGCACTCTTGCTTTTAGTTTCTGTTTCATGTTATATTATTCTTCACATAGTAATGCGTGACTATGCGTTTAATCCATAAAAAACACCAGCTACTTTTCTTAGCTTAATTTACTATACAAAATTTCTTCCTTGTTTGGATTCACATTATTCAGTTTTATATCTCTTTCTATTCGACTATTTCAGAATGGAAGATGAACAAGCAGGAGAAGTTCCAATTGCTTTTGTAGTGATATCAAATGGTTCCAGCATCACTGAGGATGAAATCAAGCAATTTATCTCCAAACAGGTCACTGATTTTCTAATTGAAAATAAGTAAAAAATTTTAGTTTTGTATCAAGACAACTCTCAGTTTACCATTGAACTAAGTAATTTCTTTTGGTCCTCCCAGAATATAACCAACCTAAAATAATAAGTATTAATCTCCAATATTAAAATTTTCTATATATCTTAACACGTAGTTATGGTTTACAGGTGATTTTCTACAAGAGAATAAATAGGGTATTCTTCATTGATGCCATTCCCAAGTCTCCATCAGGCAAAATATTAAGAAAGGACTTGAGAGCCAGATTAGCTGTAGGTGTTCCAAATTAATTGGCATTGAAGGCGGGCTTTATTATTTTAGTATATTACCCAATTTGGGAAATTGGACAAATGCTTTAAACTTCCATAAATAAGGATTTACATTTTAAAGACATCATTAAAATTATTTCCTACGTTGTAGGGATATAATTCAGCATTTTTTTTTCTCATTTTCTCTATAGTTTTACTGCAAAATATAAAGAATCGTAACCTACTAGTGATATAGGATGAGAGATAATTAGAGTTCTGCCTAGATATCAGTCTCGTTTTCCGTCAACTAATGGCAGTGGTAGACAGCTCCAACACTTTCAAAAGCCAAAAGTAGAGACATTATCTTCCCATTGCCCCTTCAATAGCAAGTCAGAAATCTTGGAGAGAGAGCATGTATTAAATGTAAAAACTAGAAATACGTAAAAGAGGCGTTAGACTTTGAATAATGCTATATTGCACCATTGGTGCTAGAGTTTAGTGTAGGTCACTACACTTTAGTTCCATTAAATAAGTTACGTGACTTTACATTTAAATGAATCTATCATTTAAAGTCATGTAATTTTCACCTATATATATATATATATATATATATACACACACACACACACACTGAAAAGCCAAGATCACGCGATATAAGTATCAAGGAACAAAAATAACTCGATCAAACAGAAAGTAAACTGCATAAAATTAAAGTTGAACACCAAAGAATTATTTCGACCATAACCCCGAAGGTTCGGTGACCACTTCTAACACCTACATCCCCGTTGAGCATTCAATAAAAAGATTGGAAACAAAGATTACAATAGTTTAGAGAGATGAAGAATAAGAACTTATCTCTCAAAATTATAAAGATGACTCTCAAGATTCACCAAGAAATCTACCAAAACCCTTTGATCAGAGCCAACAACCAACAATAACCAGATCACACAAATTCCCAACTATTCACACGGAATATTACACAAACGAAAGGTTATCATCATAACTGCCTCTCAAAAGGATAATAGAAGGCATATTAGATTACAATATTCCATCATGCTCATTGGTACATATAAATACCAAAAAAATTCCTCCAATATGATGCAAATGTTTCACTTGATGATTACACAATTTCAAATATAAGAACTTACAATTTGTGGTAGTAGTAGCTGCAAAACTATCAAAATAATCTCCACCACAGCTCAATCAACAGCCTTCTATAAGGAAAAGTTAAGAAAAATATGAGATAATAATCCCAGTGAATGGAGTGCTTAAAAGATGGTTGTACTGTCCTTTATGTATATATGTATAATTATATACAACAAGATAAATAAGTATATTAGACAATTCAATAATCTAAAACCATAATCTGAAATCCATAAGCTGAACTGTAAATGGGGAAATGTGAGTTGAAGACTAATAATCCACTATATAATTAAAATTCACATCAAAATATATCCCATGTAAACATCTACTAATGATTTGAAAGCTATAAATCATATGTGTATAGCCCGTCTGATCAATACTCTGTACATGGCCGTAGTCCCTCAATGTACAAGATAGAAATAACATAATCATCCTTATACACGGTTGTAGCCCTTCAGTTTATAATGGATACCTTTACCCATGGCCGTAGCCCCTTAGTGGATAAGAGTTACCCTTACATATGGCTATAGCACCTCAATGTATATTGGATATCTTTACCCATGGCCATAGCCCTTCAGTGAAAAAGAGTTAAATACATGACTCTAGTACACGGCCGTAGCCCCTTAGTACACTAGAGTAAGATAATTACATCACTTATTTTATGATAATTTCAAAACAATTATGATCATTTACTAATTCTAGAAAATAAAGCATTTCATGTAATTAACATGCTTCTATAAAATAAAAGAAAATTTTCTTTTTGAAAACATAGATTCTTCACTCACAAATTTAGGCTGGACTAACGGGGCTGGTTTGCTATTCCCACGTCCAAATCCTCTCCTGAAACAATTATAAATATAAGCCGCTTTAATTCCATCCATATACACTTACAATGGATTTCTCAATAATAACCCCTTCTTATCATCAAAATAAAATATATATCCTTCACTAAGCAATAAGCTGAGACTTAATATTTATATTTCATTTGGTTACTTAAACATACGTTCACTTAATTTCAAATCACTCTACATTCCTAACTCGTTAATACTAACCTTTCTCGGCTGCCTCGTCAAGATTCAACAAGCTTTTCATGATAATAATCATCCACATTCACTATTTAAATTCTCTTTTAACTAAATACATAAATCTTATCAAAAGCTCCTTTCTTATATTCTCCATATTTATCCTAAGTGAGAGCTCAACCACGAGATAAGTTATTTTCAACCAATCTAACTTAATACCATACAACAATCACAAGGAAAAATAACAAGAATGCTAAGTTTTCCCCAAATTTTCGGATTAACCCACATATAGCAAAACCCTAATATCTAAATTTCATTTCTTTCAATCCACTAGAATAACTAGCTCAAAATACTCAAATAGTTAGCTTCCTTATCATATTTTTCAAGTATAAGCTATAAATTTAAAACCCTAAACAAAAATTTAGAAAACTAAACCATAAATTCTTAACCTTACTTCTTTAAGAATTAAATAAACAAGATTGAAGTAGTTGGCACAAGACTTCTTCTTTCTTCTTCCCTTTCTTTCTCTTTTTCCTTCCTTTCTTTTTCTTTTCTTCCTTTTTCGTTGGTTTTTCCCTCTTCTCTGCGTTCTCTCTCGCTCAACAAATTCTAGTGTGTGTTTGTGTGTGATTTTAGAGAAAAAATATGGTCAAAGGTTGAATATAAAGGCCCACTTGTTCAAAATTGTAAAGGAAGGTCCCTCTTCTTTAATAGAATATAACATTTAAATCCTAAACTTCCAAAAAGTATATATAAGTAAATTCCCAACTTTAAATTGTAATCAATTTAACCTTCATATATGGCCAATTACAAAATAAACCCCAATAAAATATTTAATTTCATCTTAGTCCTTAATTGACTTTGACCTTGAGTAGTAAACATTTGAATTTTGACTAGAAAAATTTGGGTTGTAACATTTTCTCTCAAACCCTAGAGCCAGTGAATGAATGAATCGAAAATGAATGAATCCAAGAGTCCAAGCCCCAAAATGAATCATCCCCAAAGAGCCAAATATCCTTCTAGATCCATAACCACCCAACGGCCAAGGAAATAACACATGTCAGCCATCCAGAAGAAACGCTCAACTTATAGCAGCTTGTTTACATTTAAGCATGATTTTCCAGAAAAGGCAAATTCCGATAGCTAATGAGAGAACCAAGGTTCGATCCCAACATTCTCCACCTTGCTGCCAAAATTTGAACCGTTACTACAGCCAGGAGCAATCACACATTTCATTTTCATTTGCTCCAAGTACCTATATAAGAGTCACAAAAAATCGATAGACTGGAATTTAAGGCAGCTTAGGATTTAATTAAAGGAATCAACCTTTGTGCCCATATCTAATGGATTAATCTTTCCAATTTTTATTATTCCCTTAGAAGTTAAATCTCTAATAATATGATATTTAACATTAATATGTTTTGTTCTATCATGAAACATAGGATTTTTGGAAAGATGAATGACACTTTGATTATCTGAAAACATAACAATTTGAGTATCAACAAAACCAAGTCCAGACAACAAACCACTTAACCACATTCCTTTTTTCATAGTATCAGTAGCAGAAATGTATTCAGCTTCGGTTGAAGATATAGCAACTATCTTCTGTAATTGAGATTTCCAGTGCCACATAAGGTGTAAAAATAGGATGAGGTAGATCTTCTATTATTTATATCACTAACAAAATCAGAATATGTGTATCCCCTTAAGTTCACACCCTTTTTATTAGATTTAAACACTAAAACCTAAATGTGCAGTTCCTTTTAAGTATTTTAGCAACCATTTTGAGGAATTCCAATGATCTTCTCCAGGATTACTCATAAATCTACTTAAAGTAATGATACCATATGCAAGGTCAGGTCTAGTACAAATCATTAAATACATCATAGAGCCTATAGCATTCAATTTTAGGACAACTTTCAGAAGATAACTTGAAATGATTTGCTAGGGGTAAAAATACAGATTTGCAGTCATACATATTGAATTTTTTCAAAATTTTAGTAACATAATCATGTTGATTCAAAAACAGCAGGTTCTTTTCTTTATCTCTAACAATTTGTATGCCTAAAATCTTTTTAACAGGCCCTAAATCTTTCATATCAAACTTAGATTTCAACTTTTGCTTGATATTATCAATTTCAATTTTATTTGAACTAGCAACAACATATCATCCACATATAGCACCAAATATAAAGCATTTTTACCCCCATTACCTTTACAATATAGACAGGCAATATATTGACTTCTTTTGAAGCCCAATTTCAAAATAAAAGCATCAAATCTTTTGTACCATTGTCTAGAGACTTGTTTCAACCCATACAAAGATTTCTTTAATAAACACAAAGTTTTTTCGGGATTACCCTTTTCAAAGCCAACATGTTGTTTCATGTAAATAACTTCATCAAGTTCACCATACAAAAAGGTAGTTTGAACACCTAACTGATCAAACTCCCATTTAAATTGAGCAACAAGGGCTAGTAAATATCTAATGGTTGTATATTTCACAACCGGAGGGGTGGGGGGGAGGGAGTTCATTATAATCAATCCCTTCTTTCTAAGTGAAGCCTTTTACTACAAGCCTAACCTTGTATCTTATATTATTGCTGCCACATTCTCCCTATTTTATTTTATAGATCTACTTACAATCTATAAATTTCTACTCTTTAGGCCTTTCTACAAGTTCCCAAGTTTTGTTTTTAAGAAGTGAGGCCATTTCTTCTTGCATAGAAACTTTCCAATTTTTCACTATCTTTACAATTTATGGCATCATCAAAAGAGTTAGGTTCATTTTCAGAAAGTTCTTGATAAGTGAATAAGGAAACAAAGTTATCACTATCAAATCTGGTGGATGGTCTGATCTGCCTTCTTTCCCTATCTCTTATGAGTTGATACTCATCATGGAGAAGAGTTGCAGGATCAAATTCTTGCTCAGTTTTTGTTTCATTCAAAATAATATTTTCTTCATGTTGAACTATCCTGGTTATTACTAGGGGCCTCCACCTTAATTTGAACATCCTTTTCAATTAAAGCATTCC